ATTTAATCATTACATATATGTAATATCATCATAAATGTATTTAATAATTGTTATAATATTTTACGTCATCCAGGGTTCAACTCTAGCCTAATCATTGACTTTGTGAATTCGTCCTTATGGTTCTATGTCAGATGATTGTTACCATAACTTTGAATAATAATGTTGGCCGTTTGTGAGTGAACTGAATAACTATATTTTGATAGTTTGTGTTGTAAGTGCAAATTTTGAAAGTGACCATGCCAAAAAATTAGAGATTTACATAAATATGATCACTTTCATGGGTTGCCTTTCTTTTAAAGACAACAACAACAACAACAACAACATCAAGCCTTTATCCCACTAAGTGGGTCGGCTACGAATGAATCCTTTTTCTCCATTGTGTTCCTATTAAAAGTCAAATTCTCGTTTTAAATCCTAATAAAGAAAGGTCATTCCTAATATTTTCTAACCAAGCTCTTTTTAGTCTACCCTACTTTTTAACATAAGTCAAATCTAATACCTGCTACTCTCCTAACCGGGTCATCGCAAGGCCGCCGTTTTATGTGACCAACCATCTAAGGCGACTTTCTCTAATCTTATTCTTCTACTGGAGGCTACTCCAACTTTTCACGTATATGCTCATTTCGTATCCTATCTCTAAGGGTAAAGCGCATCATCAACGGAGATCCTCATCTCTGGCCACACTTAACTTAGTATTATGCTTCTCCTTTTAAAGGCCAACATTCGAGCCACCATAAAGCATTGCAGGCCTCACTACCATCTTATAGAATTTTCCTTAAGTTTTGAAGCGGGTCATTTATCACATAACAAGCCCGATGCATTCCTCCACTTCAACCATCAACTTGAATTCTGCTGGATAATATCGCCCATCTATTTCACCATCACTCTGAAATAGATCCCAAGATTATCTAAAAACGTGTACTCTATTAATGACTTGAATCGCCCAAAGTCAACAATCCCCTCACTAGGTCTATTCTACTAAACTATTACACTCATAATATTTCCGTTTTAGATCTACTCAGCCGAAAACCTTTAGACTCTAAGGTTGACCTCATAATTCAAGGTTTACCTTCAACTCCCTCTCTAGTCCTTATCAACAAGAAGAATATCATCAGCAAAAAGCATAGCACCAAGGTACATCTCTTGCAAATGTCTAGTGAGAACATCATGACAAAGTAAAAAGATTATGGGCTTAGGCTATCCTTGATGTAACCCACCGAAATAGGAAATACTTGGTCATCCAACTGTGTTTGGACATCAAGTAAATAAAAAAAAAAAAAAAAAAAGCTCCTGCATACAATCTTTAATGATTTGATATACTAAGCATTATTGACTTCTTTCTTTTCAAGAACTCTCCATACGCATTCCTTGAACTTTATCATATGCTTTTCTAAAATCAATAATATCATATGTAGATCCTCCTTTATTTCTCTATAATTTCTCCACAAACTTCTTAATAAATGTATTGGCTTTCATAGTCGACCTAACCGCGCATGAATCCAAATTGATTTGAGAAACATTTAGTATCACGCCGCAACCTATGCTCCAAAACTCGCTCCCATAGTTTTAAAGTAATGAACAACATTTAACTGAATACCTGCTATAATTCGCAACAATCTGTACTCACCTCTTATTCTTAAAAAATAGGAATTAACACACTCAATTCCCAACTCATCTGCGCATCTTCTTAGTCTTCAAAATAGTATTAAAAAGTTATAAGCCATGAAATTCCTCATCTCTAAGCATTTCCACACCTCTATTGGAATATTCATTAGGTCCACAGCTTTTCCACCCTTCATTTTTCTTTAAACGCTCTCTAACTTCAGTTTTACTAATTACGCCGATAAAAAAATAAATTTTATTTTCATCTAGGGTCTAATACACTATAGTCAATCTTATTTATCACAATTCTTCATTAAAAAAAGTTTAGCATAATATCTATTCATCTTGTTGAATATCATCTTCTAAGAAAAGTATTTTTGTTAATCTTCATCTTTAATAACACTTCACTTGAAACCTAAATCCTTACTACTCCCTAATCTTTTGTTTGGCTTAACTTATACATATATCTTCTCCCTCTTTAGTATCTAATCTATATAATAAATCACTAAAAGCTAATGCTTTGCATCCATATTGCTTTCTCTTATCCCCAACCCGGCATCCTTAACGGCACTTTATATATTTCCCAAATTATCAGAATTTTTTAAAATTAAACCAATTTTTTAACACAAGCTTCTTATTTTTAATTTTTTCTGGCACATTAGGATCCACACCAATATTTTTACTTTTGGAGCTTTTCCCTTTGATACTCCAAGGACATCTTTTGCAATAATTCTTTAATATCAGTAGCCATTTTTTCACACATAATATTAGCATCCTCATGCACAGACAAAATCTTAAAGATCTAAATCTTATTTCCAAAAATATTTTGTTAATATTCTTTAAATGCCCCCATTTAATCCTACGAAATTGTTTTAACTTTATTTTTTATTTTATGCCCCTTTATCTTAAAGTCCAAAACTAATATTAAACGAATGTTTGGGTACATAATTTTCACTCGGAATAACTTTACAATCTTTGCAAATCTAAACGTTTAATTTTCTAATAAGAAAATAGTCAATCCTGTGGTTTGTACTTATATCATTTTATAAAGTGATGAGATGGCTCATTCATTTTTTCTTAAATAAGGTATTAGCAATTAAAAAATATAAGCTAAACAAAAATCCAATATGGTCTTGCCCACCTTCCATGTCGGCCGTTCCAAATCCATGACCACCATGAATGCTTTTAAAATCATCTATCTCTCACCCAAACATGTTGTTACGGCCGGCCCATCCCTGGAGCGGCTGGACCGGTCCACCATGGACCCGGTTCATCGCCTACAGGAGGCAAGGCAAGACAGAAAAAAGGGGGGGGGGGGGGGGGGGGGGGTTGCGAAATAAGAGGGTGGGCCCACTTGAGGTTAATTCAAGTTAGGAGGGAAAATATTTGAATGAGGGGTTGTTTAGCATTTTGGTATTAATCCTTTGTCTTTAATTAGGTTGTTTTTGGGAAGGGATTTGAGGATCAATCTTGGATTTGAATCATTTTTTGAGATCTAGGGTTTGTGTGTTGGGCTCTAGACCTACGGCTAGAGACTTGGAGAGTTTTTCCTTCGCTCTCGAATCGAAAGGAAGTTGTATCTTGCAAGTGCTTTCATCTCTTTTAAATAAAAGTGTTTGCTTTGTTTCTCTTACGTTTCTCCTTCGTTTTTCTCTTCTGAATCCACTATTTTTGGCTGTTTTCCTGTGTGGACAGCAATTTCATCCGGAGATCTACTTGGTTATTGGTGTGAAACACTTTGGAAATCCAAGTGTTTCCTATCAAATTGGTATGCAGAGCACCGATTCGGGACCACCGGCGGCTGAAATTCTGAAATTTTAGCAAGATCGTCGTCTCCGGAAAAAGTTTTTTTGTGGATCCGTTAAAAGAAAGATGACCGGGAAAGAAAGGTGGAAGTTTTAGAAGGGCGATTTGGTAACTGAAGACAGATCTGGAGGAATTCTTGGAGGATCTCTACAACAATGAGAAGGTTGGAAGGGAGGTTCGCGGGATGGAAAGAAATGATGAGAAATTATTGTGAGATGAAAACCCATCCCAGACACATCGGAAGTGAGAGAGACCACTTGACGGCCATGGCGTAGGAGGAAATCCGAACCCAAATCCGGGGGAGGGAGGAATCTGGAAGTGGAGATTTCTTGAAGGTGAATGACGACATGCCAACCTCTAGAGCCACTCTCTAGAGAGGAGATGAGCATGGGGAATGACCGCCAAGTGCTGATTTTCAACGTCGAGGTGCTGATTTTCAAGCTGTCGAGGTTGCTGATTTTTTCAGTGTGTCGAGGTGTGGATTTTGGAGGCAGGCGAGGGGAATATGAAGGTAGTGAATTTTTGGAGAGAGGAGAAGAATATCAGCGTCGAGGTGCTGAATTTAGCGTCGAGGTGCTGTTTTGAAGGGGAAGAGGAGATTATGAATGAAGAATTCGGTTTACCAACGTCGGGGGAGGACCGGGACACTTGGGAGTTCCTCATTTCGAGGGAATGGGAGGTTATGGAGATTACCGTGGGTACGGAGGGATGCCGAAGGTGAGAAAGTGAAAGATGCCCATCTTCGAGGGGGAAATGGCCATGCTGGATCTACAAGGTGGAGCGTTACTTTGCTGTCAACGGGTTTGACAGATGATGAGAAGCTGACGGCGGCGGATTGTGTCTGGAAGGGAAGGCGTTGGCGTGGTATCAATGGCGAGAATAGGAGACGAGCCTATCAGGAACTGGAGAGAGTTCAAGGATTGTTTTATTAGACACGTTTCTTGAGGTTTGAGGTTTTGGAGATAAATATAATGTCAATTTCAAGGAGACAGAAGCATGTGCTTAATATATTTTGTCATAAAATTAAAGTGAGAGTAATGCAAGTTGTAGGATTCAAAGCTCTTATTGTTCTCAACTACCTTCAAGCATTTTACCATATAGGATTAAGACGGTATGCTCATAGATTGATTGCTCACACGCCAATTGTAGGCAAATTGGCAAACTAAGAAGGATGAGAATAGAACATGTGATCGCCTCTTACAAGTGCACACTCATATGAGTTGTAACATTGGTATACTCTCGCTCAAACAAGAAACCTCGAGGGACTAAGGTTTTAAATGAGAGCCAAATTTGTGGAAATAAAAAATGTAATTTGGTAAAATATTCTAAAGTTTGGAGTACTTTAAAACAATCAGGTTATACTTTAACCAAATTTTAATTAAATTATATGAGTTATTATTGAATTTAATATCGAGCCTTTGACAAGTTACTTATTAAACTATAACAAACCTAGTTCATTAGCATGAATAAATAAGTTGGATTATGTTTGAATTTGGTTTATTTATTTAGCTTTCAAGTCTCTAAAAAAGTGTTCAAATTTGGAATATTCATCGAATGCATTAGTTCACTTCTAACCAAAGTTTATGTATGTTAAATCTTTTAATTTACAAGTGCGTACATATATTGTGGTTCTTGATTGATGTATTTTTCTATGCAGGTGCTAGAACATCTTAATGTTTTTGCAAGAGATGATATTGATGCAGCCGCTGAAGCGTTAAACGGGGTGAGCTTTATTTTTTTACCATTTCTTATAGAAGCTTTGCCTAGATGCACCTTTGAGATTTCATAATCATAGTAATAATAAATCTCTATTGTGTGCCTCCTCAAGTTCTAGTAGAAACTCATTATGTTTAGCAATCCAACAAAATTTATTAGACATAGACTATCAAAGTAATTCTCATCTAGAAGCTATAGATAAAGATTTAGTTTCCTTTATGTCTTCTTGTCTTTGATGTAAATATTTCGTGGGTATTACATATAACTATGTTATAAGACTCTCTCTCTCTCTCTCTCACTTCTTCTTTTTTTAAAAAACTCCCATCTTATGATATTTTTTCTTGGGTGAGCAGTGTAGTCCAAGATATAGGATACTAAACAATAGGAATAAGCTAAGGATTTTTTAATTTCTTCATTGTTTATAAATTGAATGACCCTCACATATTCTCTATTATTTTTTTTTTAGATGCCATTAAAGCAGTTATATGCGGTGGTGGATAAGGCTGCTGTCAGAGAAAAGGGAAGAAATTTAGAAGCTATTTATTCAGGAAAAGAGAAGATCAATATAAATAACTTCTTTGATACATTGAGTGATTATGCATCCTTTCTCTGATATTTTTTTCTTCACTTCCTCACTCATTTTTGAGTGATTATGTAAGAGCTTAAATTTGGTGGTGGAAAGGGCTGTTGCTGGAGATTTCTGCATATTACTATGCTTTGAATATTTTGAAAAAAAAACCTGCATTACTATGCGTTGAACATTTTGAAAATATTGATCCCAACTTTGTTTTTTTTTTTCTATTATAAAAGATAAATATATGAGAATAATATTTGGCATGGCCACTTGCATGAGTTAATAAAATTTGATTTTATATAATTTATAATATATGTAAATTGTCAAATATTTTTTTGTTTATTTTTGTGGAGAAATAATTTGACCTTAAGATTGTACTATGGCTCAAATAATGTCTAATCAAGCTATAACACAACATTTATAACAAAATAAATTATGATTTTTAAATAAAATGTTAATCACAATAATTATAAGTTTATAAAACAACAAAGTGTAATCATAAAAATTATAACACTCTTACGAACTTAAACTACCTAAAAGCAAGCGTTGCATGCAATGTTATAATATGATAGATCTGTCAATTTTTTTGTCAAATATTTTTTATTTTGTATTCTTCTTATTTGATAGTCTATTAAGTTATATAATCTTTACAAACAATAGTAATAGACGTGCTAATAACTTATTCTTCTGTCTCAATAGCATATGTAATTATAATAGGAGATGCTGGTTTTAACTTTCCAACCTTAAAAAAATAATAATAATAAATAAATAAAAACTTTCCAACCTTCTTCACGACATGGCCAAATCAATGGCACGAACTTTACCATCATCGTTCTCCTTTGTCGCCTTCTCTGCAACGTCAACATGAATGGTTCAAATAGTTGCGAGGATGCAACACCTCAGAGTCTAATGGAATTTATTAAATTTTTAAACCGAAATTTTCTCAACCACAATGCAGAATAAATCATATGTATTTAAAAGACTTGATACAATAAAGCCTATCTCAACATCATTCGATTTTATTTCTCAAAATTTATATATTATAATCTAGCTTACATAATATCTCTATGTCAAATGAAATAATGCTAGATTATATAATACCTCAAAAGTTTTGAGTCCTATTGATCATGCGCTTATGAACTTTATCCAGCTGGGCCAGGATAAACCATGAACCAGAATAGAAGAGCTTGCTACACCCATGAGTAAATATTTCATAGTAGCCTCATTAGACCATACATCTCTCTTGGTATATCCAGATAATAGGTAGGAGCATAAACTAAAACATTATGGAGCAACAAAGATAGCTATTGACATTCTAACTTAGTAAGCATGCCCTTGTCCTATTATATAATTTGATATCCATAATCATAGTTCATAAATTTAAAGTTTTCAATAGTAATTTTAGTGTACATGAAGAAATTATCAAAATTTCATAAACATATTAGAGCTTACTTTTCACATATATGCATTCCCATACAATTTCATAGGTTATCAGACTGCATTGATTTCGAGAACAAGACATAATTAATTTGCACTTTAATTCACCTTTTCACAAAAAATCCTAGAATTTTACAGTTGTACATAAGTAACACAATATACTTGCTTTTAGAGACTCCTTTTATGATTAAGTTTGTTTTATTTAGCAAAATATTAAATTTATGACAGAATATGAGAAGATGTACAAAATGATATGCATGTCTCGATGTCTGTTTTAACTCTTATTCCACTTATATCTCCCACAGGTTACTTCACTAGGTGAATGAGACCCTCACGAATCTTTTTATAACTCTAATTTCACTTATGTCTCTTTTTAACCTCCCCTGCATAAAATAAATATAGCTAGAATAATAAACATAACAAATTAAACATAATAGAGCGTATTATATAAAGTTAGTACACTATATCAGTTTCCCACATTAGAATATTCATCATATGATCATAAACGCAAATACAAAACTTTGTAGAGTTAACAGATGCATAATATGCTAGATATGATCATGAATACAAGTATCTCACAAAACAAGAGATAATACACATGTATATATTATTCATGTTTTTTCAACTTTCGCCATTTAAGGTAATTTTCACAATTAACCTTTAAAACACCATTTTGAAAATTTATGAGGATTTTAATCAATTTCAGATTTCTCAGTTCTTAATAGATAAATATTTAAAACTTAACATAAGAAAAATCAACTGGTGAAAATGTTTCTTCTTATAGCCAAAATATTCAAAATAGAGTATTTACTACATATTGAAATTTACACAGTTGAATATTTTTTATAGTCATAAAAATACTTTTTTACACTTTATCTTTTCACATAAAAATCAGAATTGAAATTAGAAAAAGGATATTGGGAGCCCACCGTAAGTACGATAATTTCTCTAATTGACCCAATAGATGGCCTCTGAATCCCTATGTCATTTCTCTTTCTCTCCTCCTTCCTCTCTCTCCTTTTCTTCTCTTTTCATTGATAATGCTTAATCGATTAGTCTAATGCTCATAGATTCCATCAACCAAAGATCCCAACACTATGGTGGTGCCACCCACTGCCAGAACACCCCCTCAAATTTTCTTCCCAAACAAAGTGGACAACATCGCAATGTTGTCATTTCCAATGTGATTGTGGTGAAATGGATTTAGTTACTTACATACATAAAACATAATTTTTTATTTAACACCACGACACCCACAACAACAACATTGTAATGCTTAATATATTCCATCAACCGAAGATCCCAACACTGTGGTGGTGACACCCACTGCCACGACATCCCCTCAAATTTCTTCCCAAACAAAGTGGACAACACCGCAATGCTGCCATTCCCAAGGTCACGATGCTCCAAAGGCATTTTACCTCATTAATTCATCCATTATATCTCAATTTCAATCTTCTTTATTGTTAACTAGGAGTTCTAGGACCTTATATCTCTCAACAAAAAAAAAAAGATATTAAAATTCAGACAGTTATAATAATAGCATATCAAAAAACCCTTATAGCTCCAAAATGCTTAGCACAACATATATTTAAAAATTCAAGCTGTTATAGCTCCCAACAAAATAGAATTCATCAATTCCACCAACCACCAAAATTCTTAAAATTTAAGATATTTCAAAAAATTCAAGCAGGTATTCATAACAATTTAAGCATTTCACATAAATAAAATAGTAATAACAATAATTTTAACATTTTATAATTTATATTTCTGACCGCCAAAATATTTAGCAAATTAGGCATAAATTTCATATTTTCTAAACTTTACCAATTTATCAAAAACTATTTATAATATTATTTTGAAGCTTTTATTGTACAGAAATATTATTTTATGATATTAAATTTAAGATTGCCACATATAGTAGATATTTCATTTCACATAGTAACATTTTTAAAGAAAACATTGAAATGTCAAGAATATTCATATATATAACATATAAACAAATACAAGATGAAAGTTCAACGGATATCATGTTATTCATATTACCAAGTTGCAATTTTAAAATTTAAATAAGAAAAATCCTATAATTTTTATAATACTAAAAGTAGAGATTGGTATAATATAACATACTTCGACCCAAACAAATTCCCAAACGAGACTAACAATAGAAAATATGTTGAAACGGCTCATAACAGACTCTCTCTCTCTCTCTCTCTCTCTCTCTCTCTCTCTAACCGACAATTAGGGGGATTTTTTTATGGCAAATAAATTTTAAGTGGATTTTGATATTTTAGAAAAATTTTGATTCCAACGCTGCAACACCCATAACAAAGAACACAATGTTGTAATGCTCAAACTCAGCGCCACAATGTCTTCTTTAAATTCTTAGAATGACAGAGAGCTCATGCCAAATCGCTTCCAATCACAACACTAGGGCACTCCCAAGAGAAAATTTATATATTTTAAAATTCATGCACACAGACTCTTGAGACAGTCATAAACTAAATTTATACATTCAAATATATACATAACATATGCAAAATGGGAATGCAGAGAGTTCAAACATGTCAAACTTATCAAGTTGAATATGGACCAATTCAAAGCACTAAAACACTAGGTGTTATGAGGGGTGTGAAAATAGTTTTCAGGCTTGGTTCATGTCAAACTCGAAATTGACCCTCTCTTGACACATCTGACCTGAACCCGACTCGTTTGTTCAAAAGGGTTAAAAATCTAGACCTAAACCCAACCCGACGTGACCTACCAACCCGATTGAGTGCGATAGGAACACGAGCGGGTAGGCGAGCATGAGGGCTAGTGGGTGAGGGTGAGCACAAGTAAACATTTTGAGTATTTTTTGAAAATTTTATACCTAATATTTTAAAATATGTATCTTTTTAATTGAATAGAAAACAATCATGAACCCATAAAATAGTGTTATAATATAACAAAATTCTTGAAACTTGTTTTTCATGATCACTGGTAATTTGATGAAATTATGAAGTAGTAAATTTTTGCTTAGTAGTGTATTTTGTTTCCTACCGTTATAGCAAGTTAGGGATATTTTGCATTGAGTTTATTTATGCTTTAATTTTTATACTACAATGAATTATGTGTTATATTGATTGAATTATGCCCGTTTTGATATGAAAATATGTGTTGGGGGATATAAGATGCCAAAATTCTTTGAGATTCTGTGTGAGACCATAAATCTAAATCTAACTTTCTTGAAAATCTATTTTTTGACAGTCATAAGGGGTCATAAGTATTTGAGATTCTATCTGAAAGAAGGAAAAAATTTGTTGGGAGTCATAAGGGATTAGAATCATTTGAGATTCTTTTTGGAACCAAAGAAATCTATCACATTCTATTATGTAATATGAAATTTTAGTTTATTTAACTGATCAGTATTATTATTAAAATTAATGGACTAACCGCTATGCAATTATGATTTGCTCAACACAACGAATTGTTGTATTACATTTGAAAATTTTGGAAATATTTAATAAAAAAATTAAAAATTTAGACCAGCATTTGTAGTCTGCTAAGTTGTGCAGCTCACGAATATTTTGCTTCATATTTTCAGGGTCTATAAAAGGGAAAGAGCATGTCGATTAGCAGTTTCAGGAATTTGATCTAAGATTATATGTATTATTCTTTTGATATTTTGACAGTCATAGTTAGCTTTTATTATGTTTTGCTCTGCTCTCTCATATGTAGTCATGTACTGCACTATATATTTTATATAGACATTTTGATGATAAATTGAAAAGAATTTTATGGATGGGTTATTTTTTATATATTGGACATTGTTAGCAGGTTTGTGTTTATTGTTGTTTTTAAGTAAAGTTTGGAAGAAGATTTTTGAAATTTTTTGAAAACTAGATCTTGGAGTTCGCCTGTTCCAGCTTAATACGATATGACCTGCTTAGTTTGTTGGTCCAATCGAGTTGGATTGCGATAGAACCGACCTTTCCAATTATAAACGTAAATGATGTAAATAGTTTATATCCCCATGATGACCATGTCGACTGAGAATCTTAATCAAAGGGGATCTTATCATTGAAATGCCCCCAAACTCCAATTCTCACATAAATTAAATATAAAAATTCAAAAAATTGTGAAATATTAAATAATATTATTTAAAGAAAAGTATGCACAATATTAAAAGTAATAATCCATCTACCCTTAGTAATAATTTGAATATTATGAAAATTTCGAGATTAACCTCAGCTCACATTAATGTCTTATTAAAGCATATAATTATGATCATTCTCAAAACACTACATACGAGTAAGAACATGACACATATTCTCTAAATAGGTGGTTTTATTACTACATTGAACCAATGGATATGATTGGGACCCAATGACCAGGTGATTTCATCATAAAGTGATCCTATTAAATTATGATCATAATTAAAGCATATATAACTCCCATTGGTTCTTGCCCGTTGAGCTATAAATCATAGGATGCACCTAATAGAGTACAAAATCTTATGTCCACTAAAGTTAACTTAAAATTATCCCCTCATACAGACATTCACCTTAGGCATATAGACAAATTCTCTTGGATAATATAACATTATAACCTATGATCTCCTTCAATCATGTTAGGTTGATTACCTCCCCTAACTAAGTAGACCAAGGTTTATAACAACTTGGAATGACTATACAATGCGATCTTGATTGAGCTCATCAATTTTGAAGTAAAAGTTATAACTATTATATGCCAAGCATTTAGTGCATGTCAACAACTACTTCTAATGTAAATTTTTCTCGCGTCACCAGGAGTAATTAATTATGAGGGTTTACACCCATGAGAAATTTGAAACCATATTTTAATATCATTGCAAAATTATGGTGAAAACTCCAAGTAATGTCATATTTACAATCTAATCTACATTTTAAAATTTTGACCTCAAATGTAAAACTCTCCTAGGAATTAAATTTTGGAGCCCACAAATACTTTGCATATAACTTACATATTCATTATTTAATAAAGAAAAAAAATATATTTTTGTTTGTGAGAACTTTATTGCTCTTTCAACTCAATATGATATATATATTTGACTCAATATGATATAGCAATTGATAATGTACTAGGTTAGGGCTTACTTTGGTAGGGCCTTTACCTCATAATATACTACATCCATATTTATCCATTTTAACATCCTCTCTTATGATAAGTTGCCTTTACCTCATAATATACTACATCCTTTACCTCATAATATATTACATCCATACTTATCTATTTTAACATCATCTATGATGATAACCTGCTCTATGGGTATCCAAATAATTCTTCCTCATCTTCAACTAAGATAAGTATTTTAGTAAAAAAAAAATACCATTCTTCTCATAGTTGAGTAGAACACCATCCATAATAAAGTATTAAGTTAATTCTGACACACCAATGCTCTTAATGCACTCTCTGATTGCATTCTCCAAGCCTACAATTTTAAAGTTATTGTATCTATCTAGATAGTTACTAGTTAACCTGCCACTTTTGGTCATCTTCTTGAATTTATCCTCATAAAATTGTACCAAAACCCAATCCAATAATAAAATTAGATTTTTTTCCTCCAAATTAAATATTCTCACCTCAAATTTTAAACATAATATAATATCCATTTTTATCTTCATCTTCAATATTTCTTAATAAAAGTGGAAGAGTTTGTGCCCTAGCTAAAAAATAATTGCTCATGAGTTGCATGAAGGGAGACTCCTCAACCATTATAAGAATATTAACCCAACATATTTAATAACTTCACATCCTTAGCTCTATAGATAACCTAAGCAGTATAATGTCTCTCCATGCATATGACATAAATGAACATTTGCACACATAGGAAAGCAATTCAATTGAATCAATTTTATATAAGACAATGAGGACAAAAAAATTGTTATAATCATGTTTGTGTTGTAAATCTGGATCCAAGTACTATGATTTTGATGATAACAAACATTCAATTGCAATGTAAATCAGCTCAAGATCGGATAGACTAAGGTTGTGTATGTCTGCAACTTCAATGTCAATGTACCTTTTACTTTTCTTGAGTAAAGTCATGTATATGGTGGACCCCAAGGAAAGTAACCTTGCACACACACTTAGAGGGAGAAATTTGGTGAGTTAGAGATTTTTTTTCTATTTTTGATATAATTGTATATGACGATTTTAAATCGTACTGGACGATTAGTAAAAAATAAAAACTCTAATTAGAGCACCCATACTAATTACAAATGATTAAACTAATTATACTGGATGATCTCTATCGTCTAGGATGATCATTTTAGATGATAAAAAATAGTCACCAAACACAATTTAGGTAATATTTTAATTTTTAAATTTTGTACTAATCATATAGGATGATGTACATCATTCTGGATGATTCAGGACTATCATTTATAAATTAATCCTGTGATTAGGAGAACAATTATGGTAAAACTTAATTCGATACAATGACGATAAAGATCATGTTTGGTATGATAAGAGATCGTCATCTATTATACCAGACGAATACCATAATTTTTTAACTAATCATCTAGGACAATAGACCCATATCATACTGGACGACAGAGAAATGCTTGGGACCATAGGACATCACTGAGGATCGTACTAGAAGAAGTTTGGCAAATTTATGCTAATCGTCCATGATGATATTGAAATCGTCTGGGGCAGTCTGCCTATCTCTCTTAAACTAACCGTACAAGGTAATGTTGCTCGTCCTAACTGAAAGGGCTATTTTGTACTAATTGTATAAGATGATCTATCGATCGTACTGGATGCTTAGTTGCATGGAATTGAAAATTAGGACTTCTTTTAGAGGCTCTCTATTTAAGTAATTGCATTAACCCTTTAGTTAATATTTTGATATGGAGGAGATCCAAGAGAGAGCTAAGAGAAGGCAAAGGTAGAGCTTGGGAGAGAGAGAGAAATCCTTATTAGGGGGAGTTGTGAGGGATTCACAGAGGTTGCTCCAAGCAATGTGTTCATCGTCTTCAAGTTGTTGTCCTAATTCCTTGGTGGCTCTGAGGGAGATCTTAATCAGCATTAGATCCATGTTCTTTGCCTTCATGAGGTGGGTGAAAAAGAATTTCCAAGGTTCTTTGTCTACTACATGAGGGAGTAAAAGGATTTTCGAATTCTCTGCCTTCACCGGGAAGGTAAAAAAGGATTACAAGGTTCACTACCTACTCCAGGAGGGAGTAAAAGGATTCAAGGTTCTCTGCCTCACCGGGTCGGTGGAAAGATTTTGTAAGGGCTTCTCCATTTTGCTATGGGAGCAAAAGGAGATTCATTTCTGAGTAGTGCAATACTTGGAGAGGGAATCTCCAAGGAGTGGATGTAGGTCAAGTCGATCGAACCATTATAAATCTTGGTGTGTTCTTTCTATTTACTTTTTCGCATTTTAATATCCACATTTTTATGTGATATGATTTGTGTTGGAAATATCTGATTTTTGTTATTGCAAAATTAGTTCTACTTCCGCATCACGATGTTTTAACTTTTTTGTTTGATAAATAAATTTTTAAATAATCAATTCACCCCCCTCCCTCTTGGTTAGCCTCGCGATTAGTTCTTTAGGGTTTAACCACCCTAACGAACCTTCAGTTTGAACCCTATGCAAACTATTAGAACATGATTCGCCTAAGGTTCAAACATGATTCAAATAAGATCTAATTATATTTTTGAATATGGTTAGAATAACGTTCGAATAAATTTTGAACATGATATATCCATTGTTGTGCATATATGGTTCAAAACTCCTTTTATTAGTTTGTGTCATATTTGAACTTTCTTCAAACCTTTTTTTTATATCTAATAGTTGAACCTTAGGTTCGAAACATATGCTCAAACTTTGTTCGAATAAGAATAAATACTGAATATAGATAAGATTTGAATATTGTTTGTTTTTTGAATCTAGAGTTATTCTTTTTATCTCCTTCTTATTATAGCTTTAAACCATTGGTGATAAATGCATTCAAATATAAGTTATCAAGAATATATCATCACCAACATTGAATTTATATTTGTTGGGAATTAGAGAAAATCTTTGTGAAATTTTACCATAGATTAATCACACAAATTTTGAGGCTATTAGAGAACAAGAATGTTTGAGGGTCTCCCTTCTTCAGAAGTTTACATTGGTCATGACAAAAAATATTAAGGTTTCATTTGTGAGGGCTTTCTTGTTGCTTCTTAAAGCAGCTTCTTTGTACGAAATTTTTACTTATTGTACTAGAAAAATGCTTTAAGAAACAACAAAAAAATTATCCCAAACAAAATCTAAGACTCATATTTTATCTACTAAGGGCATTTTGATTTAAAATAAATGTTTGAATGTATTTTATGAAATAAATAAATAACAAAAAAAAAAGCCAATGGTATAATTTCCAAGGCATATAAAATTAAACATTAATTTTGTTTTAAAATTATGAGAATTGAATATAAAAAAAAAGAACAAAATTTTCCATTGAATATAATGTATAAGAATTTGAGAAAAAAATTTCAAAAAATATTTGTATGGAGATCTTTCTATACCAAATTTTATGCATGCATAAAAAATTAACGAAAAAATTATACCTTATTTTTAATATAAAATAACGCGAATTTTTTAATTAAATTTTATATATTTTTTATTTTTTAAGAGCAAATTGCACAACGTTACGCTCCGCCTCGCTGCACGGATTTCAAAATTTCCTCACAGGTTCTCTACTTTTCTCCTACTCCAGTCACCCTTTCTGTAGTTCTCTAGGGCATTTGGTTTCCACGGACGTTCAAAATTCTGGATCGTAGAAAGATGTCGACAATGGAGCGCCTCTTTGTTGAAATCTTCGATCGGAAGAGTCGGATCGAGCGCCAGCTCCATCAGCAGTTCGAATCATACGGCGATTCCCTTGCCTGCAACGTCATTGCCGACGGCAGGCGTCCGCCGCCGTGGCTGTTCGAGTTGGCTCCAGCCGCCACAGTTTGTCTTGATCCTGGAGGTATGCTCTACATTTCTCCTTTTCTCTACCAGTTTTATTAAGATTTTTCGGTTTGATGGCACTGGATTGTTATTTATGTGTTGTAGGGTCTGTTTGGTATATAGCAGTTAGGGCATATGAAATGAAGATTTAAGATAAATAAAATATTTATAAAAGAACACTGGAATCAACTAAGAAAGTCGGCATGAATTTCGTTGGAGGCAATTGAATTGATTTTTACCATCAATTATTTATATTTTCATTAAGAACTTTTTTCCAAACGGAGAAGTTTAAAACCATCCTTTTTATGTTCCGTCTTCCAGCATATAACCAGTCTATCTACAATAACAAAGCAGTCAAATAGGAATATACTTTCAATATTTAATAGATTTTAGCGCATAGAAAAACATACCATTGCAAAAATATTGCATGCATAAACAAATAAATTTAATTATATCCCGAACAAAAAATCAAGCACCATGAACATTGAGTCGTATTAAAGAGTAACATATCAATTCATCTCATGTGAGACTCTAGGAACAAATACATGACCGCTATATTCTTTCTCAATAGGCATGCACAAGAGCTTGCTATCTAAGTAATTAATCAAAAACAACAAAACAATTTTCAAACCAAAAGTTGCAAGAACTTTGGGAATACCTCTTTATTTATTTTTAATTCATTGCTTGATAATTACAATTATCATGTTGTTCACCCTTATCCTGATTATTTGGTCCTGCTTTGCAAATTACTTGAATGCTAGTCATTCATGTTAGTAAGTAATTTGATTCTTGTTCTACTTTAGATAAATCCATTTTTAACAATTTCTACTTGTTGATTACTATAATCATTGTAAAATTCTAGGATGCGTGTCTATTACTTACCTTCCATAATATTGTATATAATCCATGTAATTGAATGTGCAACTTGCTTGAAAATCTAGTGTACCGGTAACATAACTATTAGGTTGGATGCTCTAAGAAAAAAAAAATGAAATATTTTGGTTAACATTTGTATAACTCTAGCATAAACTACTTTTCATCATCTAAATGTTTCTTGTCCTTGAATTTGATTCAACTCTATTTGGCGTAAAAAATAATTTTGTGTTTCTATGAATGACATCATAAATTTGGTAGAAATTTTCACATTGAGATAAGTAGCACCAATCATATTTTGAAATTTAAAAACAAATCAGGAAAAATTGTAATTCAATACTAAGTTGGAAATGATATTGAATTCATCTAAATTAGAACAAGATTCAGATTTTGATGATCTTGCAAGTAGGTTAGAGTTTTATATGTTGGTACAAAATTCCAATCTATTATCCTCCTGAGTTGGGTGTAGAGTTAGATTTGATCAAGATGAATCCCTTTGAAACCAATTAGTTCCTATTAAAGTCCTGCGAGACAAAGCATTTGAAGTTATAGGAATCTGTAAATTGTGTAATTTTTCATTCGATTAAGTGCTTTCTTTGGTGCAATGTAATTTCAAATATAGAATGGGTCTAATTTCACCTATTTTGCACATGTTAGAGAACACTGTTTTTTTATATGAAGTTTTGTTTTATGAATTGCACATTTGCGCATCTAAGATTTTTCCCAGCATGATCAAGCTTGCATAAATATCTCCAACTATCATGAGGGTTATGAATAACTCCCTCATGTGTTTAAGTTCAGCTTGAATTATCACTTGTCAATAAGTTCCTATATGTAACTTCATCCTATATATTAATGAAGACCTCATTATGTTTCGAGAACTTATTTTTATCGGGAGAGGGGAATTCTTGAAAAATTGATGCTCACCTGACTACATGTGCTAATAACTTAAAAACATAGCAAACTTTTTCTCGATCCAATTTCTAATTTTGGGTTTATCTCTTCCATGGAACTTATTTGCAATTTATACTCTTTATGAAAAGAAGCTTTGTGGCATATATATTTTCAAATCATTCAAGGATGAGATTACCTTTGCACTTTTGTCACCAAAGTTTTTCATTCTATGGTGGTATGTGATAATACAAGCTCTCATTGCATTTTACCATTTAGAATCAATCCAGATCGATGGATTTCATTTCCTTTTTTTATTCAATCACTTTCTTGGCCTCAAGTTTCTTTTCCATTTCAGGTCAGTTTCCGCATGACATTGTAGGCATGGAGTGATTACCGTAGGTGAGAATTCATTGTAAGAATTTGGGGTAAAACATGAAATGCCTTCACAAATTTGAGTTCAATGCCACTATACTAAATATGGCTAGATGTCAAAACATGTCTTTACTAAGAGCGCCTTCCTTTATACATCCATTGCATTAACAATGTCTTCCTTTATACATCCATTTCTTTCACAGTGCCTTGCTTTATACATCCATTGATTTTGTTAATGTGCATTTTTTTTTAACATTTTTCAGTTTTTTTTCTACTAGCAGTTTTTTAAAATAAAAAGTGTATTATCTTCTCGAGGACTACCTGTCCAGTTGATGAATCTAAGTAAGTTTAAACTGTATTAATGCAAAAGATGCATGAGTTTTGCTTAAGGTATCCAACTTGTTCTTCTTACGATGGACCCTATCCTTGACTTGGATGTCATAATCTAACTGATGATGCAAATTGAGGTTATTGCTTATGGAAGGTACAGAAGTGGTTTCTACTTGGATAATGACCTTGCCTCTATAATGATAGTACATAATGATGTTGATTTGATTCGTCAGTATATTTCCTAGGATGAATTTGTTTACGTTGACTTTGTTAAATCGTATGTTTCAGCCTTTCCCAATAAAAAGAAAGTGTAAACTACACCTGCTCTCAACTGTTTGATTTAACTTTGGTCAAGGCCCTTTGGGTTGCAAATTTGTAGTTAAATATGGATTTAGCACTCTATTTTTGGAATGTTCTTGTCAAGCCAGATTCCTGTATTGTTGTTACTTGATTGTTGGCTGAATTATGATGACTTGAGTTTAGTGTAGAGTTTATTTTTGCACACATATAATTTATTTGGATTGCTGTTCTACCCTTTTGATTTATGGTTAACATGCTTTCTCCAGAATGTAGACAGCCTTCATCTTCGTTTTGGAATACCAAGAGAAAAACTTGCAGTGCTACTTGGGAATGCATACAGGGAACTTTGCCGAGAGTATGTTTTTTAGTTTTTTTTTCCGTATATATTTTAAAATTTATATTTACTAATAATGTTGCATCTATTTAGCGTGGAAGGTATCTAAAAAGGTGTCATTTGCATGCCTAAATGATGATTACATTAGCAGTATGAATATTTATTATGTTTCATCCTATCATATTTTTAGTATTGATCAATGTAATCGTTTTAAGCTCTATTTTATTTAGGTTAATATTAGGTTTATTTTTCATATAATGGAGTGATTAGTTTGCCCATCTTTTCTATTAATTTTCAATCTTTGTGGCTTTGTAACAAAACTTTTAATTTTGGTACATTACATATGATAAGAACCTATTCCATGGGAACCTATTGAGCAAATCCTAGTATGTGCAATGGAAAATTTTATTATGTAGGAAATCAATTAATTATATATATTTTGAACAGAAAAACCATTGCTATTGTTCTCTATCTATTGATTTTGAAGCTCCAATTAAAATTAACTACATCATGTGTTATCGATGATGATTGGGGCGATAAAAGTTAAGATTATGTCAAACTTAGGATACCATATTTTTTGAGAAGGGTTGAATACTATATAGATGAAGAACTATGTGGTTAAGAATAAAAAAAGTTTGGGAAAAATGTATGGATGCTATAAAGGAAGGAATATAAGATTAAAGAGAGAGAAAGAGATCTAATGATCTATAGAAAGTGGGAGGAATTAATCCTAGAGAAGATTCCCAAGAAAACCTTTATCTTTTTTTCATCATTAATCATATTCAATTGCAACCGAAGTCCTACTATTTGTTGAAAGAAACGAGTGGGAGAGAATAAGAGAGAAAGAGTGGTAGAATTCAATATTCTTATATTAGGAGAAATCTTGCCCACTATATAGAAGTTTGTAAGGGCAAAAAAATAGGGAAGAAATTAACATATATCCTACTAAGAAATGAAATCAAAATAATATAACATATTTTTGATAGAATGAATATATATATATAATAGATTGTGTCACACCCCGTTTTGATAGAAAAATGACTAACTAATATTTTCATGATTTTGTACATTTGGTTAACGTTGCAGGAGATCTCCCATTCCAAGAGTGATCCCATTGGAGCAAAGTTAATTTTGGAATTTTGAGAGTTCAACTTCATTTTGGAGTTTCTCAATGTTTAAGGTTTTAGCTTCATTATACTTAATAGATTTCATAATCTCCCCGGTTTAAGTAACTAATATCCTCATCAGTATCCTTAATCAAAAATCATTCATGGGGCTAATAGAATTCTATAGGGGACCACTTCAAGATCAAGAGGTGGTTCCCACCATTTAGCACTTTGCTTAATCTAGGATTCAAGAGGTGGCTTTCATAGTATAGCAGTTTAAAATGTATAACACATAATCCTATCTTCTGGCTGATATATTCCTTTGATAACATTTATAATTGTCCAAACTCTAAACCATTGAGATATTATCCATTTTGGCCTAATGATCTCATGATTTTGTCATGCTAGTGTAATTTCCTATGATGTCACTCATCCTAGGAGGTCACTTGTACATCATGCTTAGTTTTGGAGTTGTCAATGTAATTTTTGACCATTACATCAATAAGCGCCACAATGTTTAAGAGTTCAACTTATTCTATTTAAGGGTTTTAACATATGGGATCCCTAGAAATTATCTACAAGATTCCTCCAAATCAGTCGCCTACCATATAAAAGCAAACCGCAAGGTCGAAAGCACTGCAAAAAATGCATTCCACCTTTGGCATCAATATGGACTTCTATAATTATGGATTTCCCTTCTTAAAGCAAGCCTCCTTTTATGTATTTGAATTTTCTTATAACAACATTCATATGTTCTTTGCGAGGGGTATGCATGAATTGACTTACTACCCTTAAAACGAAGGTAATGCCAGTCCTGGCATGCGCCTAGTAGATGAATTTCCCACCAACCTTTGTTATCTTCCTTTATGAACTAGAGATCTAGTGCTAAGATCACTCAATTTATTTTCGGATTGGTTGACTGGTTTCGTGTGAGTTAAACTAGTTTCTATTAAAAGATCTAGAGTTTTTTTTTGGGGGGAGAAATGTTATGGCCCAAATTTGTACCTAAAGATTTTCATACAGAGAAAATACTTGAGATGTTTGAGGTCTTTGATTTTGAATTCCTTTGCAATGTTATTCTTCAAGTAATTTCTCTCTAAATCATGATGTAGTATAACTATGATATCATCAACATACACAATTAATATGATAGACTTGTTATCTTTATGTTTATAGAATAAAGTGTGATATGAGTGAGCTTGTTTAATTCTTTATGGACACAACTGTTTAACATATGTGGCAATGTAGCTAAAGCCCATTAAACAAAGGCATGTAGTTGGACAAGAAAAAAGGGTGATTTTGTTCTAACATAGTTTAATTTGAGAGTTTTTAGGTTATGCCTTATTGTGAATTAGTGTTAATTAATTATTCAAACACTAGAAAGATGAAAGGGGTTCAAAACATGATCCTTATAAAATATTTATTTGTTTGTTTTATGTTAACATTTTATATAAACTTAAGTAATTTGATTTGAGAAATACAAATATTGTTTAATGTTTTTTTTTTCCTCAATTAAAAAGGTCTTAGAAGAAGGACAATGACTCAATAAATATCTTCCTTTCAGTTGATGACTAACAAACTTGGTTGTTATTTTTTGTGGCATTATTAAAGTGTGTATTTATTTCTATTCTAAAGATGGATGAACAATTAGAAAAAGTTGACGATCACTTAGTCGATTCAGATGACATATGGTTCCATGATAATCAAAATAGTTCAATTGTTCATATAGTTATTACTGTAGCGGTGAGTGTTATATTCCTACTTGTGCATGAGGTAGGGAGAAAAAAGAACTCAACCAAACGACCTTTAATGTATTATTAATGTGGACTCAAAATAGTTAATCAAATTAGAGTATTTTTTATTTTACTTTGTAGACAATCAACCAAACGACCTTTAAGTATTCAAAATGCGCTAACTTTAATTTACTCTGCATATACCAAACCAAACAGAAAAAATAGTTTCCTTACATTCACTTTACAGACGACAAAACAATATCAAAATATTTATTTTGTACTGCATTTACTTTACATTGTATTCATTTTACAGTCAACCAAACAATCCCTAAAGAGAAGCATAAAATAAAAATAAGTGTTGTAGAGATGAAGATGCTCAAGTGGATGAGTGGCTTCACTTTTAGAGAGGCAATGCGAAACAAATATATGCGTGAAAATGTTGGAGTTGCTCTAATGGCAAATAATATTAGAGAGGGTTGCCTTAGATGATTTGGAAACATAAAATGTTGGCCTTTTGATGACCCAGTTAGGCGAGTAGATGTATTAAATCTGACCTATGTTAATAAAGGTAGAGGTAGACCTAAAATGCTTGGTTAGAAAATATTAGAAATGACCTTTTTTATTAGATTTAAATGAGAATATGGCTCAAAAAAAAAAAAAAAAGAGAATATGGCTCTTAACGGGATGCAATGGAGAAAAAGGATTCATGTAGCTGACACCACGTAGTGGGATAAAGGCTTGTTGTTGTTATTGTTGTTGTTGTATTGAGATGTGTCGGGGCAAGAATTTTGATGGATAATACCATTCTGATTTAGGTAGCTTCAAAGAGCGTGGCTAAAAACTCCCATCTTGCATTAGAATGATGGATTTGAATTTCAAAGAAGTATTGCTTCTTAACCATATTGTGGAAGTTTTTAAAAGTTTGGTCTATAGTAGATTTATCTTTCAATAAGTATAGCCAACATGCATGAGTAGTATCATCAATAAAAATAGTGAATTACTATTTGTAATATGGATTTTGATATGTGGATGACCCTAAATATCAATATGCAAACAAAAAAAGCTTGGTGGATTTATAAGGCTTGGGATTAAAGGTAGTTCTTAGTGTTTGGTAAGCTGATGGATTTACTTTAAAAAACATTTAAATTACCTAACAAAGAAGGAAATAAGTTTTTAAGATACAAAAAATTATGATGGCATAATCTATAATGTCATACCATAACTTTGTTTCTTTTTTGCAAGATAGGAAAGATCCTTGTTGATAGCAAGTGCATAATTACTATATTTAGAATGCTTATCAAAGTAGTATAGACCTCTAATCTCACTAGTACTATCAATCTTCTTCCCTAATCTCTAGTTACAAAATTAACAAAATTTTGATAAGAACATGCCTTTACTATTGCAACATTTTGCTTTCTTGTTTATAGATAAGAGGTTATAAGAAAGATTTGATACATGTAAAATAGAATATAGATAAATATCGGAGTTATTTCTAATAGTCTTTTTACAAACAATATGAGATGGAGATCCACAAAAATGTTGCCTTGACTAAAAATAAATTACGCCTAAATTTCTCTAGCTCTAAGATATGTGCAAATATTTTAATAGGCATCATTTTGAAATTTAAATTATTTTTAAAAATGCAAACTCAAATTTGACATGCATTCATGATATCAAGTTGGCCACCCTGTCTATAGGGTAAGGTTGCATGTCCTATGTGTTAAGTATAATCCTCCACTTTCTAAAGAATTAGAGTCAATAAGGCTTGTGCAATAAGTTCAAAAAGTATTTGAGTTTAAGAAAAATATCAATCCCTATTCCCGATGCAATTAATTGAATTTTGCAATTAAGTATTCAATCACGAGTCTCAAAATGATATTTTTGTCTTTTGTTTAGATAAGATCTTCAAAGTCTTTAATTAAAAAAAATCATCAAACATACAAGGAACAATCTTAAATTCTAGTTCACAAACCCAAACCTTATATTTGGGAGTAGAGTGGACAAGGCCCGTGATGCGAAGGATGTTTAAATGAACTCAAGAAATGCAAATATGTGAACCTGATCCTTTACTAGCTAGGAGCAGATTACCTTCTCTGATTAAGTAGAATAGGGCCCACAAAAATTCAATACTACATAATCATGGGACCTTGATCATTTTTGTCACAATTTCACCCATCATCTACTCTAAACTAACAACAATAAATTTTTTCTACTATAAAATCAACTTTCTGCTACTATAAACTATGTATTTATCATGTAATGACTAGTCTTAATCAAAAGTTCTCTCATTGCTAGAAGGGTTAAGTAACCAATGTTTTTAAAAATGGGCCGGATTGGCTAGTTCAACCGGTTCGATCGTGAACTGTCAAGTTGTCGATCTGATCCAATTAGAAATCCAAATTCACATTGAACCTGTGAGAATCAGTTTGAAATGTCGGTTCAACCAAAAAATCGTTGTACCGGCAATGCTTTTAAAACCGGACTGGACCGGCCGGTTCAACCGGTTCAACCGCGAACCGGCCGGCCGGCTGGTTACGGTTCAAGTTATAACCGGTTTCGCATAAAACCGGTGATGAACCGCTCGAACCGGCGGTCCGACCGCCGAACCGTCGAACCGGTTCCGATTTCTTATAACCGCGCGGTTCGCTACATCGGATATTGGACGGCTGAGATTAACGAACTGCCGATGGATTGTGGACTACAGAGATTATATGAAGCCAAGAACAAAAAAAAAAACTATCTCATTCGTGTCGCAGCTGTCGCCTCGCGCAGCTATCGCCTTTTCGGGTTCGGCTATTTCTTTTTTCTCTCCGGCGTCTTCTTCTCCATCTCCGGCATCTCTTCTAGTCCCGAAGCTGCTCTTTCGGGAAGCCAACCATTCTGGTTTGTTCCGAAATGATTTTTTTTTTCAAAAATCAGAGACATGAATTTCTCAATGTTTTCTTCTTGCTATATACTTATTTTCACATTAATGATTAATCAAGCGTTTTAATAAGCTTTATTTTGAGCTTTAATCATGCTTGTTCACAAGCTTTAATCAAAGTAGTTATGTATTCTTTGTTAAATTTCAATTATTACACATTGTTTAAAATTGTGCAATATGAGGCCCGCCTCGGCGCAATTCCAGTGAAAAACATCTTGAGGCTTACACCTCGAGCTTTTTTTATGAGGCTTGGGCCAACTTGGTTGAGGCCCGCCTTGTGGCGCAAGGCCCATCTTGAGGCGCACCTCACCTTACTTGCGTGAGGCGTATGCCTCACTTGATGTATATATATTTTTATTAAAACTTACTTAAATTCTAAAC